AATAATAATAATAATAATAACAACAATAATAATAATAATTGCACAAATTGAAGCTAAATTCAGAATTCTGCTGTTAGTAGACATACAATAGAAAAATCATACAGTGAGATAGATTGGTGACTGGAAATAAAATCACTGCCATACTTACATAATTTTTTCTTTTTTTATGATACATGTCAAAATGCTAATTACAATGATTTATTAGAGAATTATGAAATGATAAAACATGTATTCATGTAAAGTCAGTGCTGACCTAGTAAGTCTAGAGCTACATTCAATTTGGATTCATACATATGTAACAAAATATTTGTATGTACATTGTTCTTTTCTGTATATGTATCTAATGTACATGAAAGTAATTTTTAATTAATTACTGATAGACACAAATTAAGAAATGTGTGCTTGTGCATAAATTCCCAAAATGTCTAGGACGCTTTCTTAGAGAGTGTAACTATTTGTCTGTGATGGAAGTCGACCAGTAGATTCAGTGGACCAAGGATTCGAGAGGTCAACGTGAGAAGCGAGCTGACGCACGACGAATATAGAGGAGTGGGACAAAGAGACACAAAGTGGAAGCTGCAGGGTGGATGTGGCTGTGTGTTGAGCAGCACCAGAAGAAAGGCTACTACATCAACTCCAGCTGAGGCCCAAAGGGTTAATGGATAAGACTACCCAGCAGGGGTCAAGGGTCAGGAGGCCACTCTGTGCCAGGGCTAATTGGTCACTGCGACCAGAATTTACTCCAACCTTTCTATGGTGAAATACATACACATGTATGGAGCTGCTCTGACAGGAGTCTTCCATCACAAGCCCTGATAGAGGAGGCCTCTGCTGTTCTCATGCACAGTCATGGCAATCAGTCAGGCCTCTGTAGCAACAGTCAGTACCCTTCACTGTCCATCCACTACCACCTACAGTGACAGCTAGGCTGGATGGGCGGCTTTTGATTTTAACTTATTTATTCTGTTTAATTCAGGTCATTAGCATTCACCTTTTTTGTGAATGGAAAAGGATCTTTATGTGAATGATCTTTAGTAAGTATGTTATGTATAATGTAATGATTTTGAATTTGTTTCATTTACTGTCCAGCAAGTAGCTATCACAAAAATCATTCCCCAAGTGAAATACACAGTTCCTATCAGAGAAGATTGTTAAAGCCTGTAACTATAATGAGAACGTTATTTATAGGCAGATTTATATACAGTATAGTAAATAACACAATTTATACACAAGGCAGTTTCATTGTGCCACAAACTTTCAAACTTTAGATACAAACTTTATAAGCCTGAACTAAAGAAAGTGTAAATTCATATTAATCTGGAGTAAAAGTGAAATAAAAACGAAAACAAAGACATAAAATCAAAATAAAATCTATAAATGCAACATTACAAAGGATGACTCAATAAATTATAAAATATAACCTAAATTAGAGGAATTAGAAATATTTTGCCAGCATTATTTTGTATGTAACTCTAAGAAACAAGCAATAAGGGGCTTTACAATACATCTCTAATATTTCTTTTACTACTTGACTTGAAGACCTCTGACTGTGAGAGATCTTGCACACACCTTGACAGTGTGTCTTGTTCTTAATGCCAGGCTGATCCACCCTTTAATGACCATTTTAATACTTAAGTGTGCAAATGGAAATAAATGATAATAAGACATCTGGAAAAAAAGCATCTCATAAAGTAAAGCCTCCTTATTGTTTTCTGGGATTTTACCTGTAAGAAATTTCAGTGTATTAAACTAAATATTTGGGCCACATGAAATATTTCTGATGAGTCTCTGGGCAAAAGTATGAGTCTGGTTTCACCAGGATGAGTCTCAGAATGAGCCTGAATTCACCATATTTGCATCTGAGGCTGAACTAGTGTCAGGGCGCCGGCTTTTTGGGGGCTCCTGACAGACTGATGTTGTCATGCTGATGCTGTCACTGGCTTGATGCAGGACCGGTTAATGATTTATGGGAAATAGTAGGATGCCCAGAAAGGGACTTGGGTTAATGTTCACCTTTCTTACTGGACTTCCCCTGGGGGGCTGCTCACATCCAGCCCAGATCCAACCGTCCGAAGGGACATGAGTGACTGGCTCAGCCAGCCTCCAGCTAAACCCGGCATACACAGCAGGGAAGGAGCCCTGCTCTGCTCTGCTCTCAGACTCCTGGGAATGGACTCAGAGAAGAGGAGGGGACAGGAGTCTGACAAGGCTCATTGTCTTTTTAATGGTAATTTAATAGCATCCCAATAAAAAGTGGCAGAACATAATCCAGGTGCAATGAGCAACAGGTATAATGAGCTCACACAAAGAAACAATTTCATAAAACAAAACCTTACAACAAATAAACTTAACATAAAATGAAATAATTGACTAGATTTAACACAGAACCTATTACAAGACTAGACAAGATGGAGAATGGAGGATGCATCATGACTGATGTTATATTTCAGCAGTGGAAACGCTGACAAATTAGCTAATTATGTAGACTGTAGACTGTGTAGACTTGGACTTTTTGAGTCTCTGGGGATCTGGAGTGTCATGCAGGGCTGCAGCCAGTACTTTAGAAACACTAAGGTCATGAGTCCAAATCCTCAGAAGCATTTATTGATTTTTCCACCCAACTGTTGAGTTATATATTCTGTAAATTCTACTATGCAATATAATGATCTAACAATTTTAAAACCTTCTCCTCACTTTCAGGAATAAATTCTGCTGGAGAGATTCTGTCTCCTTTATAGGCCTTGGTATCAAACCTCAGCACCAGCCAAAATGTGCTCATATCAAATGTATTACATCCACTGGTGTGATGAATGTTTTGTACCCTGAGATTTTGATAATATATTTTAGAAATCTTTTAAACTTTTGGATTATACTTAAACAAAACCTTTAGTTTGGCACTGATGCATTGAGCATACCTTTGCAAAGAACAGCTTTGTTTTTGTTTAACATTATATTGTTACAATAACCACCAACATTTTCACACAGACAAATATTTTTCAAGGTCATTATTGGTTATTGATTTAATATCAAATTTTTATTTTTATTTTTTAGGTGTGTATCAGCTTTCTTTTTTATATTTAAGGTATCAAATAGGCTGGGCTGTAGGTAGGACTTTAGAAATATTGGGGACAAGAGTCTTAATTTCCCCAGCACAACCCCACCCCCAAGAGATTTTTAATTTAGCCACTTAATACATTTTTTTCACAATGTTCTTTGTTATTCAGATGAAGAGTTACATGTTTTTTATGTCTGGACTACACTCCAGGAATATAAATCTGCCAGAGAAAAGCTGAATCTGTTAAATAAATTGTATTATCATTTCTAACATAACATATTAAAATTATTAAATTTGAAAGTCTAAAAAAAATATTTAATTATTTAAAATTGAAATAGTACTTTTCCTAAAGTTGTCAGTCATTCTGAAGCCTAAATGGCTGCATCTGTCCTTCTGTCATGTATATAGCTCTGAATCAGTAGAGCTGAGGTATAGGAAGGCTGAGGGCAAACCAGGTGATGGATAGCGGTGGGGCTTGTCATCCACAGCCTTACCCTGCTCTCATTAAGCTGTAAATCTTTCACAACACCAGCTAAGACAATGCCAGTGAGGCTTTTCCTTGCTGGTCCACTTTGTCATCGGTGTAACAATGAAATTGCCAACTGAATCACTTTGCCACGACCCACAGTGACCTCCAGCAGCCAGTAAAAATGTTGGACAGGGATGAGATGCAGGTATTGTGAAATGTAGCAAGGCATTTAAATATTAATATACACATTTCTAAAGATACAAATCAAAGACAATAATACAAGAGAAATCTAAAATAATTTATCTCAGAAAATGAATAAATGAGACCAGCAGTACAACAGGGGAGTTTAAGAAGTGTAAGAGATAGCTGAAATGTGCGATAGAAGTGATGCAGTAATGATACTGATTACTTAGGTGCAGCTTTAAGAATGCCACTGTGTTGTTTTTACTAAAGAAAATACAATATATTCGGCATTGCCTTGTCACCATGTATTTTAGAACACATGGAAGTAATTCCAAATTTTATATTTTACTGAAACAAAGATATTGGATACAGATCAGGTAAATTACAGCAAAACGTATAAAATGATGCAGACATGTGAGAATAGTGAAGCAACAAAACTTAATGACATACTCACTTACGGTAAGCATTATACTGTTTATGTCAAGCCAATTATGGAAAATATTTGAGGTCTTATATATTCACAGACAGAATAAAAGATATCGTAATGCAGTGTAGAAAATGTTTGTGTAAAGCTACTTTTATGAGCATAATATGGAGCTTGAAAGCTTTTGTGTGCTGCAGATAAACAGCCAACTGATAACAGATCTTAGACAAACACAATTGTCCACCTCAGTTGGAAATGCGTGTAATAAACATTTATATTATCATCGAAATTGGCATCTACAAAGTCCTCACGATTGCTTAATAATGCAAAGTGTCAAAATGCTCACACAGCTTGCACTGTGTCGTTTTGATAAACAAAGCTAAAAACCAACTAATCACTGACACCTGCTGGAACACAGCATTTATTGCAGCAAATTACAAGGTTTATTTGGGAATTTGCTGCCCTGTGGTGTGCCTTTAAGGTCAGTAATCCCTACTTGGCGTAATCAAACATTATGTGTCTCAGAAATATAAATACACCTATTATTTTGTCTGTTAGTAATAAAGTAGCCCATATCCCAGAGGTTTCTCCAGCGAAATGAAAACAACTCAAATCTTAATTGGACTTTTACAGTAGGCCCCTCAACGCTTGAATCCCGTGCTTTAGGATCTGTGTGTTGGAGTGCCTTAGTTGTGTGCTGCACATGTAAACATCATACTGTAATTTTAGAAACCTGGGTGTATATAAGTCTGATTTCTTTGGTGGTAGAGATCGAGATATCATCAGAACTCATGGTGACACAACTGATCATATCCCTGTTAGAATCAGTTTATCAGCTATGTACATGTAAACGTCATGAGCGGGAGTAAGTTGTGCCTGAGAGGTCAAACTGAGGGCATTCCACTATCTTCCGTCACTGCTGACATCATCATTGCACTTGGTGACTACTGTTATCAAGATGGCGCTGCGACCAGGAGCTGGAGGAGGTAGCAGGTATTGTAGCCTTTTAAAATAATCTCTGTCCTGAAAATATAAGTTGTTCGTAAAGTGTCCAATTCAGACAAGAACGTAGCCTCACTGTTAGCGCCCAGAAGGACTTAAAAGACTGCGCTAAAGGCTGGCTTTGCTGTCGAGGCATGGAGATGAAATGAGATGGCTGGTTGTCAGGTGTCACAGCTAAGGCTAGCATAGTGGGGGAGCTAGCTGGACGTTAGCTAGCTGCTTCTGCCTGTCAGAGGGCACCAACAATAAAGTCACAGCGTTTTTATAGTCACATATGCTACTTACTGTGCCTTCTGTAACAGTTATTATCCCTTGAATCTTATGGCATACAGTGGTATAATATTTGTTGGACAAATGCACACCACTCTCTTGTAGCATTATGAGAAAATAGCTAGCACCTATGCAGACAGGCCCGTGAAAGGTTTATAGTGTCAGCATCTGGCTTTTCAACTGGACTTTCTTTTTAATATAATTGGGAATAATTGAGGTAACAAGAATCTGGTCGGTACGCTGTTGGGAGTTTGAAAAGGTGAAGCAGATGGGAAGTGAACGTCTTGCCAAAAGCTTCTAAATCAGTAAAGATTGTCTCTTGTCACACACCAGCTGCAGAGGCTTTATTATGTGCCAGCCCCCTTTTTGTTTGCTTTGCGTTTCATGAATATGTTATTTATTGAATCACACATGCATTCCCCACCTCTCCAGCCAGTGAGTAGTTGTAAATGTGTAGGAGATGTCACCTTATTACAGCTGCATGATGATGGTGGGCAGAGGAGATGAAAAGGCCGCTTTCATGATTCTTTCATGTGCTGAGTCTGAGCAGCTTGAATAATGAATGTCCTCTGGCTACAAGCTTCTCCACTTGCCAAGTGATACTGATCAGACAGCTGAAACTGAAGCCCTCAAAACTGTAGATGAGTGTGGGCAGTAGGGAAAAGCACTGAAGGCAAGTCTAGTATGAAGACCTGGAGATGACTGTAGTTTCCTTTAGCCTGTTCATCATTCTTCTGATGTGTGTTTAACAGTTATTGACTTGTGCTATAAAGTTAGTCTTTGTTCACCTACTACCTGTTGGTAGAATGTCCACCCGCTTTTCTTAAAAAGATTTGATACAATGTGTTGAATAAGGACAACTCTACATCATTTATCTGACAAAGTTATGTGCCTGCACTGTTACTGAGTGATATGTAGGGCTGCAGCCATTGATTATTTTTTATCATCAATGAATCTAGCAAATATTTTCTCAGTTATTCATTTGGTCTAAGAGTGGAACTAGCAAGTATCTATATTTATAACTGTGCTGGTTATTTTCACAGTTAACAGATTAATTATATGGTCTGTGAAAAATCAAACTGTTGAAAGACACCAACATGAGCAACATCCTGGAGTCTAAAGTGTCTTATTTTGTGTAAACAATAGTTTAATTAAAAATAATATTAGTCCAGGAAAACTGTGTTTTCAGATTTGAAAGCCTTAAACCAGAAATGATTTGGAAAAATAGTTTGTTCAGTCATCAGAATAGTTCAATTGAATACTTTCTGTTTTTCATTAATCCACTAAGAATTGCAGTTTTAGTTTGATCAGTAAATGTCAGAAAATAGTAACATGCTCGCCACCACAGGCGCTGGTGAGGAGATGTATTCAGAAGCTTGTTTCTTTTAAGTCCAGAACTCAACTCTGTCTGTTGACTGTATAATCAGTTAACTGAATCATTGTTTTAGCTGTACAATGTAAACCATGAGATTATAACTTTTTCAGGCCAGAGATTTTTCTCTCCTGTTCATGCTGTGCTATCACTTCACTGGGTCTAGTTGTGTTAGACAGTGGTGAGCTATGCAAATCACCCAAGCCTGACTGTTTATGGTAGTACTGGACAGTGATTCTTGAAGTGCTGTGACCTGAGTGATGTGTAATTTCCTGAATAAATGGGAAATGGGCATTCATGTCTGCTAATTGTATCTATAAACGGATTTCCTCAGAGAATTTACAATAGGCCTATATATGATTATACCCTTTTGATTTTTTTGTATCCAACACTATAGTAATATACTGAGATGAAGGATTTTACATACAGTATATTGGCCACTCCTACGTTTGCTACTGCTGCTGATAAAGCCTCAACTTTAGGCATTACAAAATGACTATGAATCACTAACTTAAAGCCTATGTTTTTGTGAAAATGGTATTGCAAGAATATACCTGTCTTGCATTTTGCACCTAAGCCCTGTTAAAAACACTAGATTTTCTTCTGGTGCATTGGTAACTTTGTAGCACATTCATGCATCTTTTTGTGATATTTCCAAATATAATGCCTATCAATAGAGGAATTGTGTTTTTATATTGTTTCATTGCAGTGTGTTTAGATGCCAGACATTATAATTCAGCATTAAGAAAGTACAATGTGTCTGTGTAACAGAATGGACAACCAGAAGGTGGCGCAGTAGTGCAGCTTACAAAAACCTGCTCAACTTAGAGTAAATGTATTAATATGATGAATACTTGTAAAAAGCTGAGTTGCAGTGGCTGGAGTCTTCCTGTGACAGAGGCATGCTCTCAGTTTGATCAGGTGATGATGGCTCCATGCAGGTTTTGGTTTTCATCAGACCATGTGATGGTGACACCATTCATCAGACAGCCGACCTCACAAACATCTTATTGTAATAGCCCGACTGCCTAATAATCAGTTATTTTTAGATAGATTAATTAATTTTTAATGAAATGTCATTATCTAGTAATCCGCAGATTATCAGAAATCTTTATCGTTTAGTTTGTAAAATGTCAAAAAAAAGCTGAAAAATACCTGTCACAGTTCCTCAGAGCCCAAACTGATGTCTTCAGATTGTTCATTTTGTTTGACTAGCCGGTCCAAAACCCAAAGACATTTGTTTTACTGTCATAAATTATGACACGACACTAAGTTCACTTTGCATGTAAAAACTCAAGTCAAAATGGTTCCTTAGGGAGTTGATTGCATTAGGATATGTAGTGACTTCCAGCCTGTCTTTTATTCGCACAGCTGTGTTGGTACTACTGAAATGATCAGTATTATAATGTGACTCACCTATTGGATTAGCAGTGCTCAGACCTAGCTTGGACCCACTGGTGGCAGAGGCCTGGCTGGCTCTTTCTCCTGTTTGTCTCTGCATCATCAGTTCCTGTCTGAAGAGCTGAGTTTTAGTGAGTTATCTGACAAACAGCTGAAGGCCTGTGTGGGTTGGCTCTGCTGAGGGAAAGACTTGGCCAACATGGATTTCATTCTATTCCCCAGCACAGGCACAGACCCAGTGACAGAGTACTTTACATCAGCTTCGTAATTGCTCATTTGCCATTGTTTCACTGGAAAATGTTACCAACACTAATGGCTTTTACTTTGCATTGTTCAAGGTTTTAGAGACCATTTACGCCGTTTGTGTGTCTCACATCCTCAGTTCCCATAAAAAAGGTCACAGCCGACTTAATGTGTTTTCAGTGTGTTACATTATTCTAGCTTTAGTTTGAATCTTACAACTTGTATTTTCCTTTTTTCCCCTACAGCTTTATGTATCCTGTCGGTGGGGGATTAGGGCCACCACAAGGTGAGTCATTCTACGCTCCGTGTTACCAGTTCTAATGTTTTTTTAAGAAATGTGTTTGACCCATGTAATCAGAAAGTGACCGGTGAAATAAATAAATAAAATCATCTTCTGGATTTAGGTGTGATCGATGACATAGTGTTTTACATATTAAAGGCCACCTGTTGATCGAGTGCACTGTGTCAGTATGTTTGGATTGAGAATGAAAACTGTACAAACTTAGTTAAGATGTCACTGACATGTCTTGATGTTGTGATTATGACACTACTTTCAATTTAAAAGAAAAAACTGAAGATGTTGAAAAATTCCAAACATGTAAATACAAGTTGACCTTTTAAAAGTTTAGATTGAGATCATGTCACTGATCATACACAAATGTACATGTTCAGTTGTCAGATGTCATTGATGGAATTCATTAGAGGTTGAGGCCAGATGTCTATGAAACTCCAGCCAAACTGATTCTGCTTTGCTTCTCATTAGTCTTTGCTGTCATTGCAGTTAAGGATCAATGCAAGTCATTAGGTAGAAGTAAGTAGCAACAAGGATTCGGCACACTGGGGCTCATACAGTACCTTTAACTGTGCTCAGATGTACTATCATTTAGGTGTACGTGTGTGTCACATTTAGACTGTTGACTTTACAGTAACAGTCCTGATAAGACATCCACACACCAGTGGGACAGCGGACTCTCAGGGGTCATTACATGCTCCCGTTGCCAGTGTCATTTTGGTCCAACAAATTAGAATGTGTGTGGCCTCCTGAACAAGCCGGTTATTCAGCGCGGCTGAGCCCTAACGTAGTGACTCATCTGGAGGCTCCAGTCGGAGCTGGCTGTCAGCTTACACAGCATCAGTGAAAACAAACACACCCTTTCCTTTTTTCCCCATCTGTCCTCACTCCTTGTTTTGCTCCAAGCTGTCAATAGTAGTCACCAGAAAAGCAGATTTGGTTGTTACTGAACCCGTGTCTCTCTTTTTTTTTCTGGCTGTCCAGGACTTGTATTAACTTTTCCTCTGTGTGCTTCAAACTGGACCTACTGACATGCCTCACATAATAACTGATTATACTATTCTCTGTCATGTCTGCAGTATACCAGAACAGTGTGTGTGTCTTTCTGCAGGCATGGTACCCCTGCAACAGCAGCAGCAGCAGCAGCAACAGCAGCAGCAACAGCAGGGCTTTCCTATGGTTCCAGTCCTGCAGCCAAACATGCAGGGCATGATGGGAATGAACTTTGGAGGTCAGATGCCCCCTGGAGCCATGCCTATGCAGGTTAGCTTGTGTATCTGTGTTTGGCCTGATACAGCCTGGAGTTGTAATTTTATATTTAGCTTTAATTTATCTGCCTTATCTGTGTTTGTCTATCTGTTTGGTTTTCAAGGTGAAATGGTCCTAATAGGGGTTTGTTATCTGCCATTGTAGTATCTTTAACAAACATGCTAATGTGGGCTTGCATTGATGAATACATAATACTGAAACACTGCTGTATTGATTTAACTGATTTCATTCAAGTGGGTTCAAAGCTCTTCTGAACCCTGTTTGCTTCTAAACTAATCTAATCTCAAGCTGTTGTAAACAGCAGCACATTAACAAGAATTTATTGCAGCATGGTGATTTTTAACAAGACTTCAGTCCATTAATGTACTTCTGAATTGCTTTCCCTTGGTTTGAGCATTTAATACCAAGTGAAAAGAGTGATTTCTGAGTGATTTTGTGTTTTGGGGCTCCAATAGGGTGGGATGGCGATTGGGATGCAGACTCCTGGGATGCCATTCTTGGGGCAGCCACAGTTTATGGGTATGAGACCTGCTGGCCCCCAGTACACTGCTGACCTGCAGAAACAAATGGTCGAGGAGCACCAGTAAGACACCCTTACACTAATATCTTGGTTCCTCTTTGTGTCTGCTTATGTGGAGCATGTGTGTAAGCATGAACCCTCATGTCAAGATGTACACAGGACTGAAAGGAAAATTGTAAACCAAATGTAGAAATGAGACTATGTTTGTAGCAACACTAGAGTTGTGGTCCTAAGAATGATAATACTGGTGAGTTGAGCCACCACTTTGGTCCTGGCTGAAATATCTCACCAAATATTGGATGGATTGTTTGGTACATAGGCCTACATTGTGCAGACGTTCATGGTCCCGTGAGGATGAGTCCTGCTGACTCTCCTCTAGTGACACCATGAAGTTGACATTTGTAGCTTTGAGTAAAATATGTCAACAAGTGTTGGATGGACTGCCATGACATTTGGTACACACATTTATGTTCCCCTCGGGATGCATTGTAATCATTTTGATAGTTCCTTAACTTTTGGTGTCATGCATGCAGGGGCACAGACTGATAGCGTGTGCACCTTGCGCAAGGCTCATGCTCGTGTCTATACCCGGTGTGTGTCCGCTTGCACATTGGAAGCTCTTGGTGCACAAAACATGCACAGAGGAGCCTGCAGAAACACTTTGAAGAAGCGAATACAAATACAAACACAGCAAATACAAACTACACGCTCTTCAAAAAGAACTGCGTTTTCATCAGGGTTGACATTATTCTGTCTCTGTTTATAATGTACCTGTTTATAATTGGAGAAGTACAAATATTGCACTTTGTTTTTAGTTGGAGGTTTGAAAAAAAAAGGGCAAGAGAAAGATGGAAAATAGAAAACTTATTTAATAGTCTATGATGTTTTATTTTTATTACCGTTTAATTTTCCATTAAAGAAAAGTTGCAGAAATGTCTGTGTATGCTGTCAATTACAGTTGTTAGAAAGAAAGAAAATTGTAATTGACCAAAACTAGATCGGCAGGTCAGACTTAAAATAAAATTGGAATTGGCCAAGAAAATTGCAGTTGGTGTGTCTCTACTGATGACCAAACACTTGCAAGTGCAGCAAGTAAGTCTTTACAGCAAACATGGTTTATGTGCTTAGCGTCAGCATGCCACTATTGTCAGTGTGAGTAAACTGATGTTAGCATTAAACTCAGCTCTGTGCCCAAGTGCAGCCTCACAGGGCTGTTAGCATGGCTGTTGACTCTTCATCTTGTTAAATTATTACCTGGAACAAAACCTTTACTGAGGCACTGAATCACTGTGAGCTACAGGGCTGCTTGTTTGATAACTTTATGGTCCCTCCTTTATGATCCTTTTTCCCAGCTAGGATTTTATAGCTCCTCCTCCTTTCTCTTTTTTCTTTTCAATACACAAGACTTGTGTTTGAACATGTCTATCAGTTTTTATCCCTGCTCTTCATTGTGTCTATGTATTATGCTGTAAATGGTTTTTATTGTCTGTTGTACTGTATGGGAGCATGTTTGTGACCTACGGCCATTAAGACCCTTGTCATGTAACTGCAGTGTTACATTGTCATCTCCCATCTCACTACAGGCCAAAATGCCAAGAAAGACTTTGGGAAACATGATTTTGGATACTGTGTGATGTACAGTGCCTATAAAAAGTATTCACCCCCTTGGATGTTTTACCCCTTTATTGATTTCATAAATCAATCATGGTCAATATAATTTGGCTTTTTGACAAAAAAAAATTACCAAAAAACCTCTTTAATGTCAAAGTGAAAACAGGTTTCTACAAAATAATGTCAGTTAATTAAAAATATGTAATGGGAAATAAGTATTCGCATAAATATTCACCCTCTTCAAATCAGTATTTAGTAAATGCACCTTTGGCTACAGTCACAGCACTGAGTCTGTGTGGATAGGTCTCAATCAAGCTTGCACATCTGGACACTGCAATTTTACTCCATTCATCTTTGCAAAACTGCTCAAGCTCTGCTAGGTTGCGTGGGGATCGGACGTGAACAGCCCTTTTCAAGTCCAGCCACAAACACTCTATTGGATTGACATCTGGGCTTTGACTTGGCCGCTCCAGAACACTCACCTTGTTGTCTTTAAACCATTTCTATGTAGCTTTCGCTGTATGCTTCAGGTTATTGTCTTGCTGGAAAACAGATCTTCTCCCAAGCTGTAGTTCTCTTGCAGACTGAATAAGATTGTCCTCCAGGATTTTCCTATATTTTGCCACATTCATTTTACCCTCTACCTTTACAAGCCTTCCAGGACCGGCTGCCAAGAAGCATCCCCACAGCACAATGCCACCACCACCGTGCTTCACAGTGGAGATGGTGTGTTTGTGGTGATGTGCAGTGTTTGGTGTCCGTCAAACATAGCGTCTTGTCTGATGGCCAAAAAGCACCATTTTGGTCTCATCAGACCAAAGAACCTTCTCCCACATGCCTTTTGGCAAACTGTAGTCGAGATTTCATATGAGTTTTCTTCGACAGTGACTTTCTCTTTGCCACTCTCCCATAAAGCTTTAACTGGTGAAGAACCCAGGCAACAGTTGTTGTATGCAGAGTCTCTCCCATCTCAGCTGCTGAAGCTTGTAACTCCAGAGTATTCATAGGCGTCTTGGTGGCCTCTCACTAGTCTCCTTCTTGCACGGTCACTCAGTTTGTGAGGACGGCCTGATCTAGGTAGATTTAGACATGTGCCATATTCCTTCCATTTCTTGATGATGGATTTAACTGAACTCGGGGGGATGTTCAGGGCCTTGGAAATTCTTTTTAATCAATTCCCTGACTTATACTTTTAATAACCTTTTTTCTGAGTTGCTGCTTGAAAAGGGCTGTTCACGCCCAAACCCCGTGCAAACCTGGCAGAGCTTGAGCAGTTTTGCAAAGAAGAATGGAGTAAAATTGCAGCGTTCGGATGTACAAGCCTGACTGAGACCTATCCACACAGACTCAGTGCTGTGATTGCAGCCAAAGGTGCATCTCCTAAATACTGACTTGAAGGAGGTGACTATTTATGCAACCACTTATTTCCCATTACATATTTTTATTTAATTGACATAACTTTGTAGAAACCTGTTTTCACTTTGACATTAAAGAGGGTTTTTTTGTAATTACTTTTTGTCAAAAAAGCCAAATTATATTGACCATGATTAGCCGTCCCTGGTAGGCTAGTGGTTAAGGTGCAGCGCTCTTGCCGCTGCGGCCCGGGTTCGAATCAGGATTGTGTCAGGAAGAGCATCCTGCGTAAAACATGTGCCAAATGTCAACATGTGAGTTGTCAGTCTGACGATTCACTGTGGCAACCCCTAAACGGGGAAAAGCCGAAAGTGACTTTCTATATTGACCATGATTGATTTATAAAATCAGTAAAAGTAAAACATCCAAGGGGTTGAATACTTTTTATAGGCACTGTACAGTGGCTTGAGTGTTGAAATGTAGCCTGATATTTCATTAATCACACATAAAAGGTAGAATGCATATAATGTCTGTACCTGCCCTTTAGAAAACGCCTGGAGCAGCAGCAGAAGATGCTGGAGGAGGACAGGAAAAGAAGACAGTTTGAGGAGCAGAAACAGAAGCTGAGGCTGCTCAGCAGTGTCAAACCCAAGGTGAGTCTCTCTCTGCATCCTGTTTATCTTACCGTATTTTCCGCACTATAAGGCGCACCTAAGAGCCTTAAATTTTCTCAAAAATCGGCCGTGCGCATTATGTGTTCCAAAATCTGTAAAAATGTTGTTGTGCGACTTTGGTAAGCACTCCGCTTGATTGACTGTCGGACCATTTCCCGCTGACACAGGGACGTAATATGTACACTACATACGCTGGCAGCGATAAACCAGTCTAAACCGGTCTAAGGACCCCCGAAAATGGCACCAGTGAAGAGACATACTTACGAGGCACAATTCAAACTACAGGCTATCGGTTACGCGGTTGTAAATGGGAATAGAGCAGCTGCGAAAGTATTCAAAATCAATGAATCTATGGTTCGGAAGTGGATTTGTGGGAGAAGATTGATTAAAAAAATAATGTGAGTGTATTGTTAAATAGTAGAATAAAGTTCAACTAAACTCACTGTTTTGCTTCCGTAACGTTTTAGCATGCGCCTTATAATACGGTGCGCCTAATGTATGGGTTAAGTACAGAAATAGACCCCGTAATTGAGACTGCGCCTTATAATCCGGTGCGCCTTATGGTGCAGAAAATACGGTACCTTTTTTTTTGTCATGTCCAGTCTTCGTCTTTGTAACCTTCTCCCCCTTTCGTTGTCAGATAGGGGAAAAGAGCCGTGATGATGCCTTGGAAGCAATCAAAGGCAACCTGGATGGCTTCAGCAGAGACGCAAAGATGCACCCCACCCCATCATCACAAACCAAGAAGCCAGGTATCTTCATCCTAAAGCTTTTAGTTGTGTTCCCTAGGATTTTTCCTGTTGCCCCGGTCCATCAGCACATCAACTCTGCTGGATTACAGGTCAGCATGATGGCTGCCCAGTTGGCAGCCAGATGAGCCAAATTACAAATATGCAAGAAATCTCAATCACACTTCATTTATCACATTATTTTTCTTTACTCTCTCCTGATTTACACACCTGTCAGGCCTGTCATTATACTCACTGTTTAGTAGTGTCCTAATATTTTATCTGTGTTCAATATAGCATCTGTGTGTGGACCTCAGCGTTCATTTTGTCCTATATTTGTAGATTTCTCTCACTTATCTTGCTCCTGTGCCAGTCAGACAGTTGTTGCCATCGACTTACAGTAACAAACATAGCCCATACTGATACGTAAGAGCAGAAGTTCCCAATGTTTTTGGTTTATGAAACCATAAAATGAAGCAGTGTCTACTAGCGGCTCCTTGTCACAAGTTTCATGCTGTATGTTTATGGATTGTGAGCAGCTCCACCCAATACTTGCCTTTAAATTTCTTAGAGAAAGGTCAGAAAAAAAGAATAGAAATTGATGTTGCAGGACAGTGTCTTATTTTTTGTCTGTCCCAGTAATCATCTCCAGACCCCTCAGATTTTTCTTGTGATCCATTGGAGGGGTCATGACCCATAGGTTGGGAACATCTGTTTTAGAGTTATTACTCTGTCAAGGATATTTATACAAAAATTGATGAATATTCTTTCCTGACAGTTGCAGTTCTCCAGCTTTTGGTCTTGCACAAAATAGTCGTTATCTCGCTCTTATGACATGCAGGCCTTAATTCATTCTCCATTGTAGTGTGTGTGTGATGTGTTGTGCCATCATGATTATTTCTCCATTTTTGCAGACTCATCGCCATCACACCTGTCTGTCACCACTCACTCCCTCTCCCCAGCTTTGTCTGAGGACAGTGATGACTTTAGTGACTTTCAGGGGCCTGTAGACACGCCCGCCTCCTTTCCTCCATCCTCCTCCTCCACTGCTTCCTCCACGCTCAGCCTCTCCTCTCAGGCCCATGTTCAGCCTTCGCCTCGTGCCCCCAAACCAGGTTTCTCTGAGGACAATGATGAGTTTAGTGACTTTGTTCAGGGTCCTGTAAATGCTTTCCCTTCCTCCAACTTTCATCTCTCCTCTCAAGGCCAAGTCCAGTCTTTGTTTCCCTCCTCACAATCCCTCCCTCAGTCCCTCCCTGCCTCTGTGTCCATTCCCACTGCCACCCAACACTCTGCTGCCAACACCAGCTCCCAATCTACATTTCAAGGTAACTCTTCTTTTGCTTTGTTGACCCCTCCCCTACCATCACCATAATTTATACTCAACCATTTGCACTTTTAATGAGTCTAGAGATTTCTTTTGTACTTGGAGACCTGCTTTTATTGCTGATGCTTAGCATTTTCACTGGTACCTTCAGAATTTGGCTTGGTCTTGGCCTGCGTCACAGTGCAAGAGCTGCAGCCATCACAGCAGATGGCCTCATTAGCTAAACCTTTAAAGCTACCAGGCACTACAAACTAGGCAAATAGGGATTCAGCATAAATAGGAAACGCAACTTGCTTCATCATTAGAAAGAGAAAATGTATCTCAGTAGGCATTAACCATGTAGTAGCTGGATCCACTGTTGATACTGAATCATTTGAGGGTTTGTGCACTGCTTGAGGAGTGTCACTCTAATGTGTTGTCTGCTGTCTAATCTCTGGAATGAGCAGCTGCTCTGCGACAGCTCTTGGTCTCTAGCCTGTGAATGACAGGACAGAGAGATCACCTGCTGTCCAGAGAAATGCAGCATCCAGCCCTCCATCCAGTGTCATCTGTAGTCTTCTGAGACATTTCTGACCTACAGTACTTGTTGGAATAAGCAAATTAGATGGTGCATTTATGGGAAACAATTTTTTTTTCTTATTCAGCTCAAGAATCTTATTCAGCTGGAGAATCAAGATTGTAATTGTGTTTAAAAAAAAAAAAAAAAAAAAAAAAAAGACGCGAAGATTCTCTAAGCCTGTTGCAAAATTGGGTCACCACAATTTTTCCACGAAGTGGGCATTTACTAAAGCTACAGATGTGCCCAGTGGCAGATTTTGGTAATGCTAAAAGATCTGATGCTGTGCTGTTTTTAAGACAGTAATAGTAGTTGTAGAGTAACCATGTTTAGGAAGTGCCACTATGTACTGAGACTGCAAGAGGAAAGCAGGATAAAAGGAAGTATTAGTTAAATTGCTTGATGTTGTCAGCTCCACTAAAAGATCAGTGACTTAATTAGTTTGCAAAAAATAAGTATGGGAGTTTTTTTGTGACATTTTTAAACCATTATCAAATGGATATAAAAATATTTTGAGAATGTACTTAAAGGTGCTCTGTGACGTTTCCTTCTAAACAAACTAAATGTATACTTGCATTAAGTGTTGCTCATCAAAATGTGTATGTGTGGACTACCAGTGAATTTCCTCCACCATAAAACAGTTTTTTGAAGTACAGTATTTCAATCCAGCAGTGTAATCCATGTTTCTTCACTTGTAGTTGTCTTCTTTGTTGCCAAATTGCAGCATATCTTCATGTGTTACTGCAGCCTCTGGATCAGTAGAATAAGGTGGCACCATTGGTAAGACTGTGTGCTATGTCACCCATGTGTGCACATACAAGTGTATCCTCATATACGAGCTAAACAGAACGGGGGCCCACTAATAGAAGAACAGCTCCATAGTACTACTAGAGGTCTAAAACACCACAGGGAACCTTTAATAGATATTAATGGCTGCTACTTCAATCATGTTGCACCAGATCTGCTGTGGGTCATTAAAAGTCAGGAAACATAGTCATTGTGTTTCTCTCACTATCTGTCCTGTCTGTCTGTTATTCACTAGTTCAACCAGGCTGTAGTCTCTCTGTATTCATACCTGTCTGATAAAGCTGTGATTTATAACTGCTTTTCCCAGATGTAATATTTTCTTTTTGGTGCCGTTGTATTATGGTTTAACCAGTGTTCTGTCCTTTAGTATATAAGAGCAAATGGAATTTGGGTAGTCTAAGAAAAATGGTCACAAATGCTGCCTAAACATCTGCCTGGATATAGCAGCAAGTGTAGCTGTGACTTTAACTTGAGAGAAATAGGACACCTGAACTAACTGCTGTGTATAATGTGTGTTTTAAAGAAGCTTGTTCCTCATTCACCCATCTAGGCCCGTCTCTGGAAGAGAAGCTCTTCTCCTCATGTGATCTTACTGCTGAAAAGACGGCCCTGGTTACCTTTAAACCCAAGCAGAGTTTGGTTGAAATGGGCCCTAGAGCTAAAGTTTCAGCCCAGTTTCAATCCAGCACTAAAGCGAGGAACTGGGCTGCGGCCTCTGAGGACTTGAGTTCTATCTTCATTGCAGAAAAGATACCTGAGGCTCCTGTGTCATTGCCCAGCATCTCCCTATCAGCTGCTGACTCATCTCCTCAAACCAGTAGCAACAGTGGTGAGAGAAGCGTCTGTTTATCAGACTTCATAGGCTCTTCTTCTCCTGCTTGCTTCGCTGAAGCATTAACACACAACAAAGGCAGCAGTTTTCTTTCTGTACCTGGGGAAATGTTTTCACTCTTTCTAGCCTTGACAAAATAATTGTTTACTTTTTGCTGCAGCTGAATCTCTTCTGTCTCTCTGGGTCATAATTTGTTTATCTATACCAGATTCGGCACTGGGCATTAAGCTGTTGTAAAAAGCAAGGGCGCTGATATTTATTTCAACTCTGAGATTATTATGGAGTGGCAGTGTCTTTGAGCTAGCCTCCCTGGTGTCTTTAC